GTCAATGGGGGTAACGGTCGGCTTTAAATGAATCAGATGGGGTGCTGCAGTTGTATTAACGCCAAGCTAATCGTAAAGGAAAAAATAATTTCCACAGCAAATATATGTGCTGCCAAAGTACATTGTCACTGAGGCTGTCTGTGTAAATTGTAATGTTCTGTACACCACTGAACCCCTGAACCTGTCATTTAAAGGCTTTGTGTTTTCCATGTCATCCTCGAAGCTGTGTGAAAAAGACCCTCTACCTGCTGTACAGTATTTTTTTAAAGTTGGCATTTGAACATGTCCCCCATGGGAGTGCCAAGCTTCCCATAGCTTTTTTGTTCAGGTTTTCTGAATTTAAAAGAGGATTTGCCAGGCCCGGAGTGAACTGTTCCATGGCAGATTCGCCCATCACTTATATACACTACTATCAATTTTGGTAGAGTGCACCTTTAAAAGATTTTGAGAAATGTCAATTCAGTATTGGCCACAAAAAAACTTGGTCCAGGAATATGAACCCCGAAAATATGCAACATAGCCTTGCCTAGTCAAACATAAATGGGGTGCTGTTAGCCATAAGCTCCAAAAGTGTGACAACAAAATGATGTATTGATTCAAAAACTGTATTGAGCTAAAAATACTTTGAGTACCAGAAAAATGAAAAACAAATGTTTTGGCTGGAGGTACACTTTAACTATAAAATGTTTCTGATTGGCTAGCAGCTAAGTGTACCATATACACAACTTTAGGATCTCTATTTACAAATAGTAAAATAGACTTCAGTGTGTATCAAACTAATGTTTTGTATGTTATTATTACAAAAAAATGACCACGGGAACTGCTGATAGGAGGATCAGGTGTCCTGTATGATATGTAATATTGTCATGATATAATCTGGGTCACATGACCTTGACAGCAGCGTGTAAACAGATTAAGTTGTAGAATGGAAAGTAATCCTCCAGGAGATATATTGCGTGAACATGATGGTGACCTCACACAGAGCCACGGGTGCAATTTCCGCACTTTATAAGCCATAACATTATGACCAACCCGTCAGTAGCAGATCCTTTAAGTCCTGTAAGTTGTGAGGTGAGGCCTCCTTGGATTGGACTTGTTTTTCCAGCAAATTCCACAGATGCTTGATTGGATTGTTCTGGAGGATTTGGAGGTACCTCAAACTCGTTGTGTTCCTCAAACCATTCTTGAACCATTCTTGAACCATGCTTGGAGTGTGGCAGGGCCCATCATCCTCCTGAAAGAGGCCACTGCCACTGCTTCACAACAATGTTTATGTAGGTGGTACGTGTCAAAGTAACATCCACACGAATGGCAGGACCCACGTTTTCCCAGTTTAATATTGCCCAAAGCATCACACTGCTTTCTCAATCTTCCCTTCTTCCGATAGCGCATCCTGGTGCCATCTCTTCCCCAGGTAAGCAACACACACGCATCCGCCCACCCACATGATGTAAAAGAAAACATGATTAATTCGACCAGGCCACCTTTTTTCACTGCTCCATGGTCCAGTTCTGATGTTCACGTGCCCATAGTAGGCACTTTTGGTGGTGGACATGGGTCACCATGGACATCCTGACCAGCCTGTGGCTACGCAGCCCAATATGCAACAAGCTACGATGCACTGTGTGTTCAGACACTTTTATAGCATAACCAGCATTAACTTTTTCATCAATTTGAGTAGCTCTTCTATTGGACCGAACTTCACGGGCCAATCTTTCCTCCCACGTACATCAATGAGCCTTGGCCACCCATGACCCTGTCACTGGTTCACCGGTTTTCCTTCCTTGGGCCACTTTTGGTAGGTACTGAGCATTCCAGACTAGGAACATCCCACAAGAGCTGCACCCAGTTATTATAGCCATCATCCCAGCTGTCTGGCCCTGGTCAAGTTGTGCAAATCCTTACACTTGCTCTTTTTTTTCTGCTTTCAACATATCAACTTCAGGAACAAAATGTTCACTTCCTGTCTAATACAGCCAACGCACTTCCAGCTGCCATTGTAATGAGATAATCAATGGTATTTACTTCACCTCTCAGCGGTCTAATGTTATGGCTGATCTGTGTATATTGGCAGTCTGGCGCTATTTTTGGTGCAAGCAATTTGGTGGCGAAAACAATCAACAATCGAAACTTCTCCAAAGAGTGTGTTCGTATTTGCCTATAATAATCCAAATGGAGGTTCCCTTCAATTAAAAAAAAAGTTACTATGCTCCTCTCTATGGATAGAGGGAATCATTCTTCCACGTTCCAGGAGAGTCGGATGCATCCCCCTGCAGCACCCTGTGGTTCCATCCTCTGACCCCCACATCACTGCTGTGTCTTGGTGTGACTTAGGGGTCGGAGGACAGTAATGTAGAGGGGGCTTACAGGTGCCATACATGCACCTTGACAATTCTATGGCAATGTTTTTTAGAGATTTCTTAACTGTTAAAGGTCTGTTCCTTCTGCTGCATTGTACTTATGGCACAGTATCCATTTAGCATACGCTATCACACAATGCAATGCACCATATGCAGGGGTGGATGCATTACTTTTTTTCAAATGCATGGCAATGCAAAATATTGCAGTAGCACCAGTTGCAGCTCAACGTACCAAGGAGGTGCATTGGGGTGAATTCAAGCGTGGTACCGTGATAGGTTGCCACCTGTGCAATAAGTCCTTCTGTGAAATTTGCTTGCTACTAAATATTCCACGGTCACCTGTTAGTGGTATTATAACAAAGTGGAAGGAACTGGGAACAAACGGAACTCAGCCACGAAGTGGTAGGCCATGTAAAATGACAGAGCGGGGTCAGCGCATGCTGAAGTGCACAGTGCGCAGAAGTCACCAACTGTCTGCAGAGTCAATAGCTACAGACCTCCAAACTTCGTGTGGCCTTCAGATTGGCACAACAACAGTACGTAGAGAGCTTCGTGGAATGGGTTTCCATGGCCGAGCAGCTGCATCCAGGCCTTACATCACCAAGTGCAATGCAAAGCGTCGGATGCCGTGGTGTAAAGCCCGCCACCACTGGACTCTCGAGAAGTGGAGACGTGTCCACTGGAGTGACGAATCAAGCTTCTCTGTCTGGCAATCCGATGGACATGTCTGGGTTTGGAGGTTGCCAAGAGAACGTTACTCGCCTGACTGCATTGTGCCAAGTGTAAAGTTTGGTGGAGGGGGGATTATGGTGTGGGGTTGTTTGTCAGGGGTTGGGCTTGGCCCCTTAGTTCCAGTGAAGGAAATTCTTAAGGCATCAGCATTCCAAGACATTTTGGACAATTTCATGCTCCCAACTTTGTGGGAACAGTTTGGGGATGGCCCCTTCCTGTTCCATCATGACTGCGCACAAGTGCACAAAGCAAGGTCCATAAAGACATGGATGAGCAAGTTTGGGGTGGAGAAACTTGACTGGTTGGCACAGAGTCCTGACCTCAACCCGATAGAACACCTTTGGGATGGATTAGAGCGGAGACTGCGAGCCGGGCCTTCTCGTCCAACATCAGTACCTGACCTCACAAATGCGCTTCTGGAAGAATGTTCAAACATTCCCATAGACACACTCCTAAACCTTGTGGACGCCTTCCCAGAAGAGTTGAAGCTGTTATAGCCAACTCAATATTGAACCCTACGGACTAAGACTGGGATGCCATTAAAGTTCATGTGGGTGTAAAGGCAGGCGTCCCAATACTTTTGGCTATATAGTGTATGTATTATTTCTAACAGTCAGGATCAATCCTTAGACACAGAGGAGGTTACACAGCTAAGGCTACAAGAAGCAGACATCATCATTGCTGTGGAATCTGGCTGGAGGGGATTTTAAGAAAACTCAGATCACAAATAAACATGTAACCAGAGAATCCCAGGGGCAGCCCTTGTTGACTTCCTCCTTCTGAAAATGCGAGCTCCCTGGCTGCCATGCTGAGCCAATGCCTCTGCTACTTACTGAGTTGCTGATCCAGAGCAAGTGTGTAGCAAATGAAGTCAGAGGAAAGTCAAGCCTTGATCTGCATTGGTGTTTGTGTGTTAATGACTCAGAAAGTGGCAAAGCTGGATCAGATTGGTTGCCCAAAAATTAGCATTTTAAGGAGTCAGCAATGGCAGCCTTCATACTTCCTCACTACAGGATTCCTTTTAGGATTGCTGCAGCACTTGCTGGAGAGCATTTGGGGCTTATTGCTTTCACCTATTAACTGGTTGCTTAAAGTTTTATTTCTGCTATTATAAATAATAATAATAAA